TAAGTTATTTTCCACGTAATTAAAGATTTCAAACAAAAATTGATTTCGTGGCAACTTAACTGCCATCTGGCACTTCCGTCGACGGAAGGACGAAATTGGTCCTGAAAATTGAAGTTCAAGGATTTTTTTAGTACTTTTTGAAGTTTGAGGGTAGTTTTAGTCCAAAAATGAAAGTTGAGGGACTGAATCGGGGATATAACCCTAAAAGATATTTCGATTACACTCATACGTTGTCAAAAAAAAAAATTAATTCATTTCTTTCACTTAAGGAAAATATTATTAAATTATTTACACAATAATAATTAAAAATCAGTTCATAATATTATGGTAAAATTTTATGACGTTTTTTCTTCTTCCAAACGTGGGAAGATGTATGCTAATGCGAGATTGAAAGTCCATAAGTTAAAGAGATGGATCGTACGTAGTCATGGATGTGGAATAGTAAGAAATCCAAGAGGCACTTTTATATATGTCAACACCTACATTAATTGCCAAATAGAGTTGATCCATGTTTTTTTTTTTATATAAGAAATGGAGAAATATATTGAATAAATAAGAAAGTACACTAAAAACTCCATCACATGTTTTATAACCTAAAGCATGAGAGCTTAAAAAGCAGAATCATAAGCGTAACTTATATCTTAATAATATATTTAAACTATATTTATGACAAATATAAACAATTAAATAAAGAAAGTCATCTGCAACTAAAGATTACAATTGCAATTGCAATCGCTGTATGGGCTAAATAGAACTACTAAATAGCTAGTAGTCATAAAAAGGTTATTTGCACCAGTCGAGAAGTTGAAGGGCTTAGTGCATCATTTTTAGTTTAGGGGCTTAAAAGCCAATTTGGGGCAAATTTAGGGGTTTAAGGGGTTTTGCCTAAAAGATATGATAATAATTATATTAAATAAGTAAATATTTATATACGTACAAATTTTATATTCCACACTTACACAAAATCTTAATAATTTATCTTTCTATTCAATTGTTAAGATTTACCATGATATTTTAGATGACAGAAATAATTATTTTTAATAGATATAATAAAAATAAATAAATAAATTATCAAAATATTATATAAGAGTAATTCTTGAGAGTTGTGAATACCTAGATCCCTACTCTTATTAAATTAGTGATTTGATTAATTATGGTAGGAGATCTTAATTAGATGTACTATTCCGTCATTACGATGAAGTGTGTCCAGGTCTTAGAGTAGCTCTCTTATGTAAGGTATCATAGAATAATATTTCAATATGCTCTTATTTCTATTTTCCATTAATTTAAAAATATTTCTCCCTTTGCTCTGATTTAGGTGCCCCACTTCATTCATTCATTCATATGAGGACTTATATTTCATTTTTAAGTTCATTTTTAATTTCCAATTAAGACTCTGTTTGGTATAGTAGTTTTAGGGTAACGATTAGTAATTTACACAAATTGTTATGTGTAAGTATTTAATAAATTTATATATTTTGAAATCGTTACAAATAAGATATTTGGTAAAAATTTTTATTTAACAGTTTGGGGTTAATTGATAATAGTTAGAGTCCAAACCACTAATGGATAATAATTAGGGTCCAAGCAATTAACGGATAGTGATTAAGATCCAAACCGCTAGCGGATTAAAATTTTTTAATTTTATTGACAAATTAATTCATTTTAATTTTTAAATTTTTAGTCACAGTTTTTAATTAATATTTATTTAATAAGTTTCAATTTTATTTTTTTACCTTTAATAACATTAAGTGATTATTATATTTTAATAATTATAATAAAATGATCTAAATGCTTTTTAACTATTAACATATTAAAAAAATTAATTTAGATACTTTTTTA